TTACCTTCGGTGAAACCTCTCTCTACAGATATTGTTTGAGGTTAGTGAAGTTTATGCATCTGCTTTCCTATTGGACGAACGAACTTACGAACTTACGAACTTACGAATTTACGAACTTACGAACGAACGCATTTAACTCGTTTTGCGTAATACCCTCCTTTCAGTAGAGGGAATTACAATATAAGTTACGTCTTGAGGGTATGGGTGTGACTTTTGTGTAGCATGGATCATATTAAATTTAAGGGCCATTCACAGTCATATCCCCACCTGAAAAATATTTTTTTGAGCACACCCGTACTCAACTATATCGCTGACTGGTAGATTGCTGATACATTGGCGTTGTTGTCATAAATAATTACTTATATATATTCACGTCGCGTATCTCATGCGGAATCAAAAAAAGATAATGTGGGACACAAAAATTGCGAAATCAAATATTCGAGTGTTTATCGAAGTGGACAGCTGGAATAAATTATGCTGACTAACTTAATTAAATCGAAGGAAAAAGAGAACGGAACTGCAATCTATTATAAAAGGCTCTGTCAGCTACTCAGTATAGTAGAATTTTTAATAAATTGCCATGTTGAAAACAGATGCAGCAATACTGGTATTCTGTCTTCTCTTCCACATTGAATGTGTAGCTGCACAAGCTAACACATCTGTGATAGAAATTCCGTCCGTTCGCTCGCGTGTTTCTTCTGGTGGAACCTTGAATCAAAGAAGTTACTTTTACACAAGATCCCAAGATGCTATCTTGTTCGAAGTAGCTTCTGTATCTCCAACTTTTATCAAAGTACCTGGACTATCGATTATTGTTCATCATGATCAACCTATGCTTTATCGCATCGGATTTCAGGGCGGATGCCAAAGTGGGACTTATTCATCTAATTTCGTTCATCTGTTAATTGATGGATACATATTGATCGAAAACGAACTGCTGCCCAACAATAATCGACGGCAAGCTGTTGCACCACATCTAGGAACGAACATCGATGAAGTGGATCAACACAATGGTGGGCTTTCTACAGGACGTTCTGTGCCGTTTGTCACTTCGTGCCCTCGCTTTCGTAAAGTAATTTTACGAAGTGGAACACATTCTATTGATATAGGAGTTCGCATTACCATTCCCAATATGAATTTAATAGGTGGGCAACTTGAAGTTGAAATTTCGGCCTACGATCCTGATACTCAACTTGGCCTGTCTTACCCAATCATAC